GAGGTCCAACTTCCGCTGGTGCTTCATGGATGTGATGCAGGATCTGCAAAAACAGCTCCAGGCCAAATTGCACAGTCATGCTCATACAGTGGTCTGTCCGGCCATTCGAGATAACTGGGCCGACTTTGCCGCTTCGCCACGAGGGTCTCGGCTTGCGCAGCGCCGCGGCGCATGCCCAAGCAACTTATCTCGCTTTTCGGGCCGACTCGCTTCGCCCCTTCCAAGCCCGCGATCGCGGTTTCGGCTGCTTTTCGTGACCACATGTTTAGTTGCAACAACCTGCAGATCCTGCATGCAACTTCCGCTGCATCGCGTCGCTCCAAGGTGCTGCCCTTGTGTTTTAAAGGTCTTTTTCTGTCGGCCCTGTTTCCACCGTCAGACGCAGTCAGTTCTATTGCCTACGGGGCAAACACCGCTATCTCCGGGCCGGGACGCGACTCGGCCGCGGCCCGGTTTGCAATCGGGCGTCCGCGAGGCGCTTGCTCGTTGGAAGCACCGTTTTGCTCTGGACCAGCTTGGATTCCAACTTCGTCAGGTTGAGGTCGCGCAGCCTAACTTTTGGGCACTTTTCAATCTGTGTCATCCTTGCCTCAACTCTCGTTCAGATATTCGCTTTGCCAGATTGCCAACGCATGTGGTAAGGGAGTGGACACTTGCTCGATGTGGCAATCATCCCTTCATTGATGGGCGCGCTGCTCGCCACAGTGGTTTACGTCATCCCTGCCTGTGCGGGTCCGATGAGTGCAGCCTACTTCACGCATTACGGGCCTGCCCTTTGTTCCTTCATTGGAGGAACGTGTGGTTGAATCGTTTGCAAACCTCTGAGCTGTTTTGTGTATATATTCTGGCCTTGCCTCTGAGTTTCACACTCCTGGTTTTTAGTTACTGACCGCTGGACGGTTGTTTCAGGACTCGTGCTGCTGCTGCTGTTGCTGCTGCTGCTGCTGCTGCTGCTGCTGCTGCTGCTGCTTGCCCTGACCAACCATGGGGTGAACTGCTCGCCGAACCCCTTCCCCTACCCGAACTCGAAACCGATCCCGGACCCCACGAGCGACTTCGCGCGCGGTTGATTCAGCGGTTTATCGTGTTCTGCTGCTCCGGTGTCAGTGCGCCTCCCAGTGCCTCTTGATGCCGCGGCTTGCCGTGGCGGGACACAGTCGCAGCTGCTCCGGAGAATCCGATGCCTTGCCTTGGGCTGACAGGTCCTTTGCCGCCTCGCTGTTGTCGCCGCCCCCCCATGTCACCGCCAACAGCGCTGGCCCGCTCCACGACCTTAGCGGTGCGCGTGCCAGGGCTTTCCGTAATCCGGGTGCCGGAGTTCTGGGTATTGCAACAGGTGACGTTTTCCGCCACCTTGTTTCCTGCACACTCGCCAAGGCACTGGGGTCGGCTAGCACCGACCCACGCGAGCCAAAGCCAAGGCACGGAGCTCGACCGGATCCTCGACCTCGCAAAGGCCGCGGTGCCGAGCCGGCTGCTTCTGTGCATGCAGCGTCTATTCCGGGTCGCCGGCAGGTATGGGTTGCAGCGTGAAGTGGTTTCGGACGCCTGAGTCTTGCAGGCGGGGAATAAGGCCAAAATATGCCAAAATACACCAACTTGGGTTTCATCAACTAATGGGCTCACACTGGGGGACACGCGTTTGAGAAGCAGCCGCTCAGAGGCGTGACCACAGCTGAGCGCCAAATTCATGGCACAATTGCCCAGCAAGGAACAAGTTCAAAGAATGACAGGAGCGCAAAGCGTAAAAAACCATCATCGATCTTGACAAATTGGTAGGTCGCCGTCTGTGCCTGGGGCACGCCAGGCGGGTATAGATTGCAGCACATGCACAAGTTCTGGCTCAAAGAAAAGACCATCGAAGGCCGGCTGGATGAAGACATTGTGCCACGCAGACGGCGGACAACATCGCCCAAATCCGGAGAACTCGACCCGGATGCAGCGGGAACGGATGCAGGGACGTCCCTAAATTGCCGCCCAGGCCTCAAGGCAAGCTGGCCGTCAACAGTGGCCTCTGCGATGACGGCGGCAGCAAGCGCATACATGCCGGCAGTGGGCGACGAGACGGGCCAAGCTGCCGACGAATGTTATGGGCAGCTCGACGTGGATTAATGATGATGCCTTCGCGTTCCTGTCGGCACGAAATGCTTGGCGAGATTCGGAGGCGCCTTCACGGCACCAGCGCCGCCAGGCAGCATTCCTACATACCATGACATCGTAACTTTCATCATTCCACCAATCGGGCTGGGGTCGATCGTGGGGATTACACGTGCCCCACAGCATGTATAAACTCAACATAGGATAGTTTTCACCATCACGCCGCACACGCGACAAGTTAACGGACCACTCCAGCAACTGGGGCCGCAAAGCCTGCACAACAGGCCGCCAGTCACGAACACGCGGCCAAGACGGATGCGTTGTTTCGGGAACAGATGATACTTCAAAGGCCATGGTCACCGCCGAGGGCCGGACAACACGAAACACCAGAGCACCCACGGGAAAACCCGTCGTGTACAACTAAACCCTGGACTGAATGAAAGATCAAGGTCAATCAAGGAACTCGGACGGTGAGTGGCTATACCAATGACTAAGCCGAAATCCCGGCACAAGTCTATGATCAATGGACGCAGCTGTGCCTCTCCAAGACATTCATTACCAACATGATTTCAGCCAAATACACGTTGAAGTCCCCAGCTAGGATCAAACTAGGGTGCTGGTTGAGCACTTCCTGAACAGAGGCCCGCGGTCAGCCACAAACATGCCGACGGGCGGCATGTAGAAGCTACAAACCAGGACAGGGCCGAATCCAGTCGGACGATTAATACGAATACCTCTCATTTCTTTTGGGCGGACGCAAGAAGGTGTGGGAAAAACTTCTCCTTCCCCCTCCAACGAAAACGGGGTTCACGGATGCGGAACCATCACGAAGTCGGATCGCACGCCTGGAGCCGTCGGGGGCGGGCCAGTTGCCAATCGTAGCACGATTTCACATTCCGCAGTTCCGCACCAACTTTTTCCTGGCCACACGAAGCTTCAATAGCTTTGGCCCATGGCTGGTCTCGGCGATGGCAAAGCATCGTGACGTGTCGCCAGCTGCTCCGGCCGTTGGAGCCCGTATAGCCAATGCATGCCAACGCAAAAGGACACTGGCACGGATGCCAGGCAGGCAAAAGGTCCGTCGGGAATAAAGAATCGGCGCAGGCGCGCAGCGTACCCCGAGCTGTTGCGACCTACATGTAGCCTAGCGGGCTCTGGAGCCCCGAATCAGTCCGCCTCGTCTCCCAGTTCTTACAGCCCCGACCCCACCGCGCTCGTGCCGCCTTGCGCAGCGCTGCTAGCCAGGGCTGGCTGACCCAAGTCCGCGGTCTCGGGCCCAGCCCCCATCCACCGACATCCGGGGACGGAAATCTACAGAAAGGACAGCTACCGAGCAAGGCAATTAAGAAGTGCATTTCAGTGGAAGTCAGGGAAACTGAGACGGGTCCGCTCTCTTGACTCACAGGACATACCACCGGGGATCGTGGCGACCGTGGTACAATACTACGAAAAAACCAACGACAATCTCGATGAGAAACCGTCACGTAGCAAATTTTTTCGATCACGCACCGCAATCGCCAATGCTGTCCGCATGCAACGTTCCCGTCTACACCACTCGCATAATCAATAATTTTGTTCACGGGATAACGGCGGCGGCTTAGCTTGAAGCACCAAGGAGGGGCAGGGCCAAACCTTCAGAACATACTGTAGGGCAACGGCAGTTGGTTTGTCAGGCGGTTTTGGCTAAACACCACGGAACGCGGATACTAGATTGCCAAGACGCCACAAAAAATCACAAAAACAATGTGGCATGGAGGTTGGTTTGTCAGGCTGTTTTTGGTCAACAGAACACAGGCGCGATACTTGCCAAGAAGCCACGCTTGCAATTAGACGCAATCATTTCTTCGGCGCAAGTGCTCGTGCTTTGATCGCTACGGTTTCCCAGCTGCATAAACCCACCGGCGCATGTTTGCCGTGTGCGCAAATTCTAACGTTCTGCTCACGCACTTGTTACGACTGCGCAAAAGAGTCCCTTTGCAACTGCAACTACGGACCCCGGCGGCTCGAGGTGGGGGGACTGCGTCGCGCAGCACGCCCCCGCGCGCGGATGCACCTTGCATCGGCAGTTGGTTTTCGCTCACTACCGCATGCAACGCTACCACGAGCTGCCTGCACCTGCGGCGGGAGTCAGTTCTCGACTGCGAAAAACCCACCGCCACAGACAATTGGTCCCGACGCCCTGTCCGCCGTGCTTTTTAGCGATCTTATTGCTAGCAAACCAGCTCGCCCGGCTGGGCACTGTGCCAGCCTGCCCTATCTGCCTTCCATGGCGCCCATCGGGCTCCGGCTTTTCCGCCATTTTTCCATATCGCACGCGCGACGAAACAGCTGCTGGCGACAGTATACAAAGAGCGCAAGATCATTGTTCTCCGTGCGAACTGCCATGCAAAGTGCTATCGAGATGTGGTGCGATGTGGGAACATCACCAAGCGCGGTTGTGATCGTGACATACCAAAACAAGCCAAGAACGTTGCAAACATTTGCACGCGTTCAATCACGCAAAAGAAGAGCCGTTTGCATGGGACATGTCAGGTGAGCTGCAGGCAGCCCTTCGCGAGTTCCGTGGCGTCCAATGGAAAGCGGAATAAATCAAAACCCGATCATGTTCCTCATGGGCATGCAGAGCCCACCCAAGGCTTCGAATTTGGACACGATAACGTGAACGAATGTGTTCTAAGCCATGGTTCAGTATTGTGCTTGACATTGCTTGGCCTGACAGCCTGTACGGTGAAGTGGCGGCTTCATGTATATAAACGTTCATCCAATTAAGCGGACCCAGTTAGTGAGATGTAGTCAATGTGGTCGCTTGATGGACAAGCAACTTGAGAGATGCAATTTCGAGGTTGGAGATGCCTGCTCCGTGTTTGGAGAACGCAACTGCGCAAGGGCGTTATGCCCCGCCCATGGGATCCAACATTCCAGGCTGGGGGAGCGCGGCGAATCCTTACAGTTGACAAGCTGTCGGGTTTTGGCTTGATGTTATTCCGCTGCAGGTGCCGCTGACACGACGGACCTGGGCTGCAGGTACGGCAATCCACAGATGTGGGCCCACTGCGGAGTTTGCTGTGGCATCCGCCCGCACTTCAATTGGGTAATCGGAACCTGCGAGGCGCACCAGGGTTGAGGGGGTTTAGGGTTCAGGGTT